CACTCTGGGAGGCCGAGGCAGGGGGATTGCTCAAGGTCAGGAGTTTGAGACCAGCCTGACCAGGAGCAAGACCCTGTCTCTATTATAAATAGAAAGAAATTAATTGGCCATCTAAAAATAGATATAGAAAAAATTAGCCGGGCATGGTGCGCATGCTTGTAGTCCCAGCTACTCGGAAGGCTGAGGTAGAAGGATTGCTTGAGCCCAGGAGTTTGAGGTTATTGTGAGCTAGGCTGATGCCACAGCACTCTAGTCCAGGCAACAGAGAGAGACTCTGTCTCAAAAAAAAAAAAAAAAAAAAAAAAAGAAAAAGAATCTGGAGAAATGAGAAATATGAATATGGTATTTATCAGAACCATCCATGACTGCAAGGACTACTGATACAATCAATCAATTCAATAAACCAGATGTTACTTGGAACAAAAAACATTTCAAAAATGGAAGTTGCCTTAGTTTAGGTACTAGAGAGGATTAGCTAGATTTTTGAGAGCCATGTGAACCTCAGCAGTCAGGTCTCTGGTGTTTTTTTTTATGGCAAGAGCAGAATTGCTCCAAAGTTCATCGCTGCTTTTCACAATATTACCTATACATTTCTTTCCCCCCACCCTCCCAGCCTGATTATTTCTAGTTCATTCTTCACAAGTATTCATCCTTCTCTAGGTACAGAAACAAGCTAAAATTATTGGTTAAGGACAAGAGGTAAATTCCAGTAAGAACTGGGGGAGCAGGAATAGATAGATCTTTTAACTCATTTCTTAGTTATATATTTTGAAAATGTATTTTTAAAAATCCATACCTTTTAAGAGAAAGTTTTAGTGAGTCGTCAGTCTCAAAATTAAGAATGAACACAGCAAAATATAGTTTTTCAAATATTTCCTTAAACACCTCTATATTTCATTTACGATATAGGATACAAGTATGGTGAACATAGTTTTATTTACTGAGTAATGTTAATTCTGTTGTAACTGCCTTAGCAAAAACTCTTTGGCTATTTATATATCTGCAGCCATTGCAAAGACATGGAGACCAAACCAACTAACAGGAATGCATCAATGCTTCCCCCAATTTCCATACTCCTGTAACATCTTGCTTGTACCTTTGTTAGGAGTCCTATCTTGCATTAGCGTTGCTAACTCTTTCCTTTGCATTAGATCAATTAGCCCTGATTTGTAAGCAGTAGGCATTCAAAGAATATCTGTTAAGTTGAAATACCATATTATTTTGGTGCCCAATTCCATTCCAAGTGAGTCCTTGTATTAAGCCAAATTATTTATTCTTCCCTGTGCATTAGCAACTCTTTTGAGAAACACAATCATAAGATATGCTAAAACCTTACATGCCCCATCTAGCCAAGCCAGAGGCCAAGGCTTCATTCTAATCTCCTTTAATAGTTTATTAAAAAAAAAAGTATGAGTTGCCAAATAAGATTGGCTCTTAAAAATTATTTCAGTCAATCAAAATGAAATATTAAATAAAAATGCTAGGCATGGAAAAAACTTTAAGTGCTATTTCTTTTTTCTCATTTGGTGTATTTCTATCTCTCCCTTTTCTGATTATAGATTAAATGAACGTTTTAATTTTGACCAGAAGTGCAGTATTATCAGTGGTATTCATATTTTGTCTCTCATCATTCACATGGTGGTCTCTTGTGGCATAATAGTGTGGTAGTGTGGCATCCAAATAAAATTGATGATATAAGATATATACAGCTTGGCTGCTTTATCCTTCTGTGAATGGCCAAACCAGTGATCAAATATTCCGGATGGACAGCTTCACTCTGATGATTACTTTTAGTCCAAATCAGATAGGCCTTGTTAAAATTCTGGTCTGGGCTTCACTCCTCGGAGATCCACAGAGAAGTGAGACATTAGTCCAAATTAAAACAGAAATTAACATGACGCTTACCTTAATGGATATCGTCAACCAAAGACTAGGTACTAGTACAATATTGACGTAACTGCCTAATAACCTATCCTTACATTTTTGTTTTCTAAAATTGTATAGGCTGAGAGTGGTGGCTCACGCCTATAATCCTAGCACTCTGGGAGGCTGAGGTGGGAGGATCACTTGAGGTCAGGAGTTCAAGACCAGCCTGAGCAAGAGCTAGAGCCCCTTCTCTACCAAAAATAGAAAAAATTAGCCGGGCATGGTGCCATATGCCTGTAGTTGCAGCTACTCAGGAGCCTGAGGCAGGAGGATCCCTTGAGCCCAGGAATTTGAGGTTGCAGTGAGCTAGGCTGACACCACTGCACTCTACGGGGGGTGGGGTGGTGGTGGTGGTGGTGGTGGTGTACGGAGTCAGACTCTGTCTCAAAAAATACAATTAGATTAAAAAATAAAATAGTATAAAATATTCTCCACAAGATGACAAAGTTGTTTTTGATCTATACAATTCAGCCAATTTTCCATGTTGAGATTTTTGCATCTACATCTTGGTCCTTTTCCACATTAAGGAGAGGAAGGCAAATGGCCAATTGTATAAAGTGCAAATAAAACTCTAAACCCATTAAACCTCTGAAAATTTTGACCTATATGCTCAAAAGTTAATAAAACTACATCAAACTCATCAACTGCCTGTCAAATATCTGACAGCACTGAGCAAATTCATTTATCAGACATCATCAATCAATACCTCAATTTATATATCCTAGTCAAGTAGTCCTTGACACAGAAGTGTCCTGGAGAAAGAAGTTATGCACAAGGTTTGGTTAAGATTACTTCCCTGGGTTTTGGCTTTCTTCTTTCACAGACAATCCCCGAAGCATGCTCCAACATGGCAGAAATTTGGCAGGGCCTTAAAATCTCCTCCTCAAAACACATAAATGAATGTTTTAAGTAACAACAATCAAGTTGTCATTCTTAAATGAATCTCAAATATAGAGCATCCACAGATTTTAAAAAGAATTTAAAAAGCAAGAAACCAGAGAAAAACATTTATTAAAATTCCCCAAAATGCTTAGCAGTCATGTTTGCTGTATCATTATACTTTTAATCTATCACATCAAAATAATTACCATTGGATTATAAACTCATGTTGTGATACACAATTTCATGAACTTTAAATAGAGACTAAGAACTTGAGGTGGTTATTCCTTCATATTTTTTCCCAAATGAGATGATAACTTGCAACATTTAAAAAACTCTAACACCAAATGAGTGAGCACCAGCTGTTTTCAGTTTAGCCGTAAACTTTTAATTTTCCATATTCTGAAAATTAACTCTATACTGGTTTATAAATAGACTCAACATTTAAATAGGTTAGTTGGAAGCTTCTTAAGGAATCAAATTTTCTTATTTATCTTTACACAAATTATTTTCATCAGAATTTACATACTTACACCAAATCCTCTTCTAATTTAGTTAACTATCCCTATATATTCAAACCAGTTATTTATACTTTATTTGAGTCCATTTTTTTAAAAGTTAAATTAGAAAGCAATTCCTAGGCCGGCAGTTCTCATACTGCCTTATCATCACTTGTGGAATGATTAAAAATGCAAATTCCTAGGCCACACCAGTGATTCTAACTTAGGGTTCTGAATCTACAATCTACTTTCTCAATAAACACTCAATGGCATCTGATGCAATTTGTCTATAAAACACTTTGAAAACTGCTTATGTTGTGAAAAGAAACATTTAATTCTCACAATTTTTATATCAAAAAAAGCTCTATCAATGTATGTGGCAGTTTTTGATGAATAATGCTAGTCAAAATTTTTGTGCTTTACAAATCTTGAAAACTATGCAGTAAGAAACCTGGCCTTATTTTCCAACATTCTAATTCCTCCTTAGATCACCAGGGTGAAATTTTAAGAGAATTAGAATCAAAACATTCAGCATCCCAAAGTTGAAACTTAAGAGTAAATAATTTCTAAATTAATTTAACCTTGTGTTTCTTGGAGAGAGTTCAGAAGGAAATGAAGGTCCTTAGTGCAATGTCAAGTGTAGGAGGCTATATATGCCTAGTTCCTTGAAAGCCAGTTTTAAAAAACAAAACAAAACAAAAGACAACCTGTACTAAGACTTAACCTAAGAGAAGCCTCAGAACAGGAAATGAGAGATTAAACAATAATGACAGGTAAATTATTTCCTAGACTTCCGGTGACTCTTGGCAGCAAAACGTTGTCCTTGTGTGAAAAAAAAAATCATCAGCCACAAAGTGACTAATCAAGTGACTTAAGAAAACCTAGTATTTGTCAAGATGCCCTTGCTGTGTCTTTGCTCTCAAAAGACAACTTCACACACACCAACTTTTTGCCATGCTGGATCTTTTTCCCAAAGCAAAATTTAACAATTTTCTGGACAATTTGATTAAATGAATCAGGTCCCTAAGTTGGCTTCTTGAGCTTGAATTATAAGGTCAATATGCGGTAAAATTTGATGATACCAGATACCTTAATCCAGTTCCATTTTTCATGGCTTTCCTAATATAAGGAATTTGGTATGATGGTGAAGTTTCAGAGTCTAAAACCAAATAGACCGGAAAAAAACACCTCCATGATCAGCTAAGTTAAGAAAACATTTTTGGCTAAATTTTAAGAATCGATCTATGTATATTGCATGCCTGACACAGATGACATTCAATAAATCTTTGTTAAACCCATTCTTCTAGTTTTGAATTATCCTCATGGCATTCATTCATTCTTAATACTTTATATAAAGAAAAAGTCTAATTGTTAATATGTTAGGCAAGTCTCTTGAATAAATCAGTTTAAAGATAAAAAAAAAAACCCTGCAAAATAAAGGCAAGTCAGCAAATGTGCAAAAACAAAAGGAAGAACAGTAATAATGACATAGACAAAATAAGCTCTCATATAATAAATACAGATTATTAGAATTATCTCTGAAAATCATCAACTCTAGCTTACTATAAAGCAGCAATCATAGGATAAAAACAATCTTATAGAGTAGTGATTAACTATTTTCATTAAAATGTTAACCTTAACATAAAATATTTCTTGCACTTGAAACAAAAGGTAAAAGAAGACAAAACAGCTCAGTTTAATTTCAAACGTTAATATATTTTCTATTTTATATTGAACATATGCATCTGTAACCCCTCATTTGCAGCAACTATCACATCCTCATAAAAGGGGCAAAATTTGTAAGATGCCTCTTAAAATAAATATTCTTTTTTATAAAATAATAAAACTTCAAATAAATATTCTTTACACTAAACAATATGTTGAAAAAATTAGAAAATAAAGGTTGAATTTTACTGTAACTGTACAATATACATGAAGTCCAAAGGGAAATCAGAGTCTTACAATAAAGGCTTTCTGTAAGGCAAAATACAATCTAAAAACATACTGATTGATTCACATTCTTCCGAATGTACAACATATTAGTATAATATTTTGTGACTGTGCCATGTAGTATGGCACAACTTGTTTTTCACAGTTGCAAATATTATTGTATATACAAAAATATAGCACATTATCTCTGGAGAAAACAATGAAAAAAAGTCATCTGCTAATTTACAAATTTTGCAAGTAACTATTCACAAACAAAAACTTTGCCTAGGAGTGTCTGTGTTGCTTTAGCTTATGCAATATGTGGGTCACCAAGTTCTGTATCTCATTCTTTGAGCTCCATTAGCTGAGTTCTAACAAGCACATCAGTTAAAATGGCACATGGACAAAAAGCATTTCACTGCAAACAGCAAAGACTATCCCCAACCCTCTATTAACAGTGCCAAGATTATAACTGTTTTAGTTGGTTGCATATGTGGGTTAAAAAATATTCTTATTACTGTAATATTCCTGATTAATGATGCTATGTGGGTTTTTCAAAGTTCCTGGGGGGGACAGTGGGAACTTTGCAGCAAACTGTGTTTGAATTTTTACAACGGCATCCAGGCCTGTTAACCCGGTCGTAACACCCCTGGCACAATTTAAGGCAACCCTTGGCTGGAAGGTAACACCATAAACAAGGCAAAAAGAGGGACATGACACCCATGGCCGACCATCGTGTACAACAGTGAGACTGGCTGCAAGAACATGGGTTGTCAGCACAGTTGTCCTCATCATCATTAGAACAGTGATAGAAGAGACCTTTCACACAGCACACACAAGTCCCATAGTCAATCACGTTCTGGGCCGAGCAAAGGCACTGCTTGTCGCAGATCCAGTCTGATGGCAGAGGCCTCGGGTAGGTGCACTCCTTACATTTGCACTTGCCACAGTCCTCACACCTGTAGGCGTGCAGGCCCAAATCTTCCTTGCTCAGGGGCTTAAGCTCACCTGGCTTGAGCTCAGATTTGGGCTGCACCCGGATTATTCCATCACCAACCGGCGCTGAGAAGGATGGTCCTAAGAGTCTCTGTTCGGAGGAGCTGCTGCTGGTACTTGTCCTCGTACTGCTCCGTGACCCTGAGCTGACCGTGCTGATGGACCTGGACAGAGGGGCTCTCGCAGAAGCATGGACCTGCGAGTGCTGGAGTCTGGGAGGCTGTCGGTGCTCGGGCAGACCGTGGAGTCTCTCATGTTTGTGCTGAGTGGAGGGGCGAGGAGCAGGCTTGAGCCCAGGCCTTGGGACCACAGTAGGCCCCTCTGTGTACTCATTGGTGTTTCGGATCGCCCTGATCTGATCCAGAGACAACACATGTACCTGCTGGGTGAGGGTGTCTCTGAGGTCGGGCTCTCCACGCTGCCTGCCACTGTCACGGGGCGCCTGCACCAAGGGCTGTGACCCATTGCCACTCTGAGCTCTGGCCTCCATCAGGTCTTGAAAGTGTGGTCACTCCAGTAGGCTTAGAACACATCTGAACTCCTGTGGAAATGAAGAGGAAAGAGCACTGTTGACATTCTTAAGTTATTTCCCACTCTCCACCCACCTGAGTTGACTCTTAACTTCCCACTTCCCCTAGAGAAACAGGATTTGAAATGGCAGTGGCAGTGGGGAAGTATTAGAATAGCCACTGATCAATGATGTACCAAAAAGTAAAAATTATGGCTGGGCACTGACAGTTCTGTCATCTCGTGATGTACAGCAACACAAAGCTGATCTTTGTTTGAATCACTTAAGTAACAATTCCTTATTCAAATAAACATACAATTTGGAAGGCTCAGGTTCAATGTAAAAATTGCAAGAATGTAATGTTGGAATATAACACTGCTACCAACATTTTCAAAAACTGAATACCTTTTCAAAATTTGAAATGGGTTTAAATGTGTCATGGTCCTTTTTGCCTTAACCATCAATTTGCCTTAACCTTAAATGCAATCTGGAAAATTCTTTCTTGGCTCTTACTTTTTGCTTCTACATCAAACACCTGAACTATGATTTATCCAGTATTCTGTAACTTTTTCAAATCCTATAGGATAAATATGACATGCAAAAAGCAAATTGTCCCCCAAGACCACTTACAAAATTTGAGCATCATGCCATTTTTAAAATTAACTATATAGCAGCACAAAATCATAGAATTAAAAACAAATCAATTCAAATACTTTGAGGTGGGAGAAACAACATTAAAACAAACTTACACAACAAGCAACAAGAAGACAGGAACTTATTTTCAACACCTGAGGATCAACTTGATCCTCCCGAGAACACCTTAGATTTGTAGCTAAAAGGCTGCTCTCTCTGTTTTAGTAATAAAGTATGTTAAAATCTTAACTTATTTTCTCGTTTCAAAAAATAAACTGACAGGATAAACCAACTGGTAATAACAGGAAAAGTGTTTTAAAAATTCAAGCGTCACATTTCAAACCTACCATTCTGTCAAGTAATTAGTTCCTTTAAACTTCTGTCTCTCTTAAATTGCAAAACTATCATCCCCTTTCCCAAGCCTACGTGAAAATAAAAAGGAATACAGGCAAAAAGTAGACCTTTTATCCAATCTCTGCTTTTTAGAAAAGACGGCCAGAGCGAACAAGGCAGGTGACAAACGCCTCCCAATTCCGAACAAGGCTGAGCTGGAAACCGGATCTGCTCACCTCCGACAGAATGGCAGACAACACTGCTCTTTAGCTTTCACTCGGTTTATCGCCTCTATCGGCGCCCCAACACCGTCCCCAGCAGGTGGGACACAGCCGGAACCCCGGGGGACTTTTCTTCGGGCAGACTGACGCTGTCCAGGGGCCAAGGTGGCCCCCCTGCTCACGACCAGACGCACAAGACAGGCGGGGGCCGCGGGCGCCTCCGAAAGGGACGTGTCACGAAACGCAGGAGCACGCTTCCCCCGCCTCCCTCTCCACCGCTACGATCTCCCCCAACTCAGGAGAACTGCCTTCCAGCCCCAAGCAGGAGCCACGCCGCTCCCAGGCAGAGGTCACGCAGCCCACCGCACGGCGCTCCCGCAAAGGCCCGGGAACACGGGGCACAGGTTTCCTACCCCGACGCCGCAAGAAGGCAAAGCCCAGCCTTAGACTCGCAGCCGGGACACGGAGGTCTAACCCACGCGCACACAGCGACTCCACGGTGCACCGACGAGGCGGGCACTGCCTGTAATCTGCACACGCCTATCTCCTTTTGGGTCGAGAGAAAAAAAAAAAAGATATCATATTTCTTAAAGTGAAAGAAAAATTGCATTTTAAAGAAAAGACGTTTTCCAGGGCCCCCACTGCACACGCCGGGCGTGCAGGATCCAGACCCCCGGACTGGAAACTTTCGGCGCAGATTTGCTTGCAGTGGAAAGTAATATCTTTGGGGGGGAAAAAAAAAAAGTATTTTTCTAAAGTGATTTCTTCTGATCTCTGGCCTCCTCCTTCGCACCCCCCCGCCCGCCCCTCGGTGCTCTCCCAGTTTCCCCCTCCCCTTTGAAAGTGCTTTGAAACCCCATTAAGAACAGTGTGTGATCAGACTAAGGATTAGGGGGAAAGGACTTCAGCACTAGGGTGGGGCAAACCGACACAGAAACCGCTTTGTAAAAACCGCACAAGACTCTAAAAAAACCCAGCAGCAACAACAAAAAAGATAATTAAAAAACTAGCGTCTTTGGCCACCTAGCTTCAGGTAATGGAAAATGATCGTGACCACTTGATGACTTTCTTCCTGCGCTGGGTCAGCCCAGCTTCCAAAAATAAAAAAAGTGTGACCTAGGCTGACCACGCAGAACGGAAAAGAGAAAGCTGCACTTCCGAACCACAGAGAGAGACCCGGCGCCAGGCAGGGCGACGCTCCCACCCGCACCGGGCTAGACTCTGTGCTCACCGGGCAGGGGAGGGGGCCTCTCTCCGCCCGACACCCTGCCGCTTTTTGCACACCTTTGTGGTCTCTTGCCCTCCGCGAGGCGAGCAAACCGTACACCCCAGCTCTGCCAGCGCCCCCGCCTCGGGAGAGCCTCGCCCGGGACTTTGCCTTCCACCAAAAAGGAGGAACAGGTTAGAAATGTGGGCGCCTGCAAAGGCGACCTGGAAAACACAAAAGTGTTTTTCCTCCCTCTCCCGCTCTCAGCGCGGATTTCGCGGTCAATGCAGGGCTGGGAGCAGATTCGAGGCGAGCTGTCCTCCGCCCCTAACCCCCTAGGACGCGGGCGCACGGGGTCGCCAGCCGGGGACATTGCAAAGGGCGCACACAAGGAGCCTCCTCCAAGGAAGGCCGAGCCCGAGCCCCAGGCGAGTCAGGTCCGCGGGCAGCTCCTCGGATCTTCGCGGGGAACCTGCAGGGTTAGAGAAAGGGAGGCTCGGGGAGAGACAGACCCCACTCCCGGTCCGGCTGCACCTACTCCATGTTGCCCACAACGCGCCGGCCACGGCGCCAGGAGGGGAAGAGCCAAACGCGCCTCACCGTGATCGCGGCTTTGCAGCAACCCCTCTTCCCTTGGATTCTCTTCTGCGATGTGCAAATAAATCCAGCGCCGATGCAAACTTTTTTTCCTTCTTTCCAAACTCTGTCTCAGTCCAACTTCCGAGCGAGCGGCGGGAGGAAAAAACGAGAGGAAAATTCGGAGCCAAATTCCCCGCCGATGAACACTCCGGGGTTCGGGGTTGGAGGCGACCCCCCTTCTAAAAGCACACGCGGAGTATTTCCTCTTTTTTTTCTCAATGAACGAGAGGCCGAAGCACCGACTGCAAGTCCTTTTTCCTGGCAGATGAGCGAGTGAGAAAAGAAAACGGCCTTACAGAGAACCTGAAGCCAAATCGCCAAGTGGTGCGGCCGCGGCGGAGGCGGCGCGGGGGCGCGGGCCGGGCCGGGCGGGCGCGGGGGCCTGGGCGCTGCGCGCTCCGCCGGCCCCTCTCCTCCGCTAGCGCTGCGGCGCGCAGCTCTCGGCGGTGCAGACTGGGCGTTGCGGAGGCGCGGCAGGCAGGCCGAGGCGGGGGCGGTGGGTGCGGGGGAGGAGGAGGAGGAAGAGGAGGAGGAGGAGGAGGAGGAGGGTCTGGGGCCCGGCCGGGGGGGGCTCGCCGTTGGCCTGCGCCCTCGCCTTTCCGGAGGAGGCAGGGAGCTCTGCGGCGGCCGCGGCAGCAGTAAATGGCGTCATGTGGATCCGAGGCGGAACAGAGCAGTTGTTGTCCCAGAGGATATATCGCATCCGGTCCCAGCTCATTGGCTCCGCGGGGCTACATTCACTCACACTCCAGCGCCCGCCAGCGCTCCGAGCCGCAGGAGGCATTCAAAAGGGCAACCGCGCCGCCCCGCGCGCCCCCAGGCCGGTCCTGCCGCCCGGGCGCCGTCACGCGGGGCCGGCCTGGGCACGGCGGGGTCAGTTTATCTAGTTTCAAGGGGACACTGACCTTAGGGTTTCCCCAGAGGCAACGAGGACGAGCCGTAGGCTCAGGCTGACTTAGGGAACTTTTTCCTCGCCACCAGGAAAGGGGGATGAACATTTAAGACTAATCCGGACCGTGCAGTGTTAGCATTAAAAACAAGTTGCAGGTTTTGAGACTTTATCTGGAATCCATTTCAAGCCTACCGCTCCCCTTTTCTGTTCCCCTTCGGCGAGGGGGCGACGGGGGTTGAAGAAGGGGGAGGGGAAGGGGGAGCGGGAAGTGAGGTGGGAGGGCTATTGGTTTATTCTTTGTCTACTGGATTAACCCGATTATACACCAGGCACCGGCACAAACCGCCTCCCCCACCTCCGAGCCTTGTACGGGAGGAACGGAATGCAGATTCGAGTTTCAAGTACCTTCTGCTCTTGCTGGGATTTGCTTTTGATTGTGTCGACTTGTAGTTTTTAGGCTTACTGGAGTTTTACTTTTTAAGGGGGGTTATCTGTGGATGGAGGCTTTTTTGAAGATCTTCCTTACTGTGTCGCTTGACGCAATAGCTGAAGGAAATTCTACAGTCTAAGCCTTTTAAGTTAATTCAGCAATACACACATACATGATTACTCAGGGCGACGGCACGGACTTCCTAAATGGGGGGGGGGGAGTTTACTGTTTCAATGCACATTTCCTAGTTCGCCTAACCAGAAGAGTCACCCTTCAATTCCACTCTCCTTGCCAACCTAGAACATTTCTCAAGGTCCTATTGTCCATGTTGAAAGTGCACTGTATTGTCTCACTTAAAAACATAAATATAAAGCTAGTAAATACAGACACATGCATTGCTCTACCTGCTGTTGTAAAAACGTGCCTGCACGTGGGAGCGCCAGTGGGAAATTAAAATGCGCGCATAGACACGCCTAATGTTGCATTCTATCTAATGACTTACAGAATGCTGTTACTTTACAGGGAAGTACCTGTTTGCAGGGTCAAAACTCCTGAATGGCACCTGCGATCTTGCCCCATGCCGGGTAAGAATTCTTGCAGCAGTGCTGGGAAAGCGTGGTGCGTGGTTCCTCCAGCTTTATTTAGCCCGATAAACTCACAGCCACCCTGGCACTAGCCGCCTTCCCCTGAGTGCTTGCTCTAGAATGTCCCCGGCGCGTTCCCCGCCTCGCTGCGCTCTCGCCCTGCCTTCTCCATGTTTCTCTAGGGCTCTCCTCCCCTCGCCAGGGTTTTGGAACTAGAGATGGCAAGGGAAGTGGCATGTGTTATTTCCGGGCGCTGGCCTACGTTCCCCCACCCCTCGGGTGAGGCTGCACGAGGCTACGTCTGCCTGCTCCGCGGGCGTCCCGGGGGCTGCGGGCGCGGGACAGCAGGGCCTCTCCGGCTGCAGCCGCTCGCGCGACGCCCGAGTCCATTGAGGCTCCAGTGAACGCAGGCGCCGCTGCACTTAATGGCCCGGCCGGCCACCAGGGGGCGCCCGCGGGGCGCTGGGCCGGGGCTGCTATTCTTCCCCAGCACTCGACGCGGGCTGGCGGGGTTGCCTTCCAGAACACGCATCAGGCCGGTGGTTTAAATTGAATAAAAAGATATCTATAACATAAACGATAGCTTTCCCTACCATCTCCTCGGACACGTTTCGTTTTGAACGCGAGATGAGGTACTTCGGTTGGGAACCCCAGCTTTTTACCCAGGGGGAAGAGCTGGGGTCAAAGCCAGGTTGGTTGTGCAAGGCCAGTGGGGAACGTGCTTGCCTGTGTAGGGCCAGCAAGTCTCTGGAGCAGAGCAGGTGAAAGAAACGCCTTCTCCTCATTTCCTCTGACCCCTGCACCCGACTGCAGCCTTTTAGGAGACATTTGTGCCCATGCTGTTCTCCCAGCGCTGCAAGAGCTTTGCAAAGACATGTCGTTAGGGATCAAAGCACGAAATGGAATTTAGATCAGGAACTTCCAGCTGGTTAGAGCACCTTATTTTTTATTGAGCTAATAGGAAAGAATCTAGGAATTTAGATCTACCCTTACTAAATAGAAGGAATTCCGTGTCTCCCAGTGCTCCCCCTTCTGCCCCCACAACCTCCAGTTTGCTGGCTGGGAAAACATTTAACCTGTAACTTAAGTACAAAATAAACACAAGAATCTGTTGGGTTCTGTAATAATTTACTCCTTAGTCTTTAATTACTGCAACTATTATTATTTTCCAGGCAGTGAAGTGTATAAAGCTACCATTTTGTGCCTCCGAAGTTTACTTAGTGAGTTACAATCCAAAAGAGGAATTATGTTTATGTGTATGTATGGTGCATGCACAATGAAATGTCTAGTGCAGCTATTGTAATGTGTTTACAAATTGATTCTCATGTTACATTCCAAAATTATAACTGGAATTAATTTTTGAAGATACTTCAGAATTATGATAGAATGTTAAAGCAAAACTTCACAATGAAGCCCATTTTCAAATGTGTTATGGGAAGTTCTAGAGAGGCCACCCTGATGCATGAGCAGGTGTTACCATTTGCCTAATGCTGAAAAATACCAAATCCATGGAAATCTTTGCTGTACCAGTACTCACCTCCAAGGTCTTGGAATTCATCAATTAATATACCTTCCTAGTCCTCGACATGAAATAGGACTTTGTGTTATAAACTTGGGATCTCTCATCTCTGGCTTCTTTTTATATTTTGAATACATTTATTTGTATTTACTTCATTTTATAACTATAATCTCAGTTTTTTGGTTTTTTTTAAATGAAGCAGTATATAAAATATTTGAATTTTGCCTTCTCCAGTCTTTGGTGGAAGGTATACTATAGAGAAAGTGTAGAAAAAGGTTGTGCTTGCTTGCTGGTGTAAGCTTTAAATTTATGTTGTGGCAATGGGAGAATGTAGCATTTAACAATTGTAGTTTCAGTTTCTTTCTGAGATTGAACAAACCACTTGGCTTTACTGGGTTCAGTCTGACTTTTGATAACCAGAGACAAAGCTTGCAATGATATGATACATTCTTGAGACAAAGAATTAATCACTATTTGGTTATTTTGTTCTATTATCAAGGCAATCTACTTATATATTAACATTTAAAGACATCACTAGACATGGCAGTGTGTGCTGCTTCCAGGAATAACAGTTGGGGGCTTTCAACCATCATTTCTCCTTAAAGCCCAATTGCAATAGTAAAATTAACTTATGCATGGATTCTTCAAGGGCCTTCCTGAGGCAGAGGGCCTTTTGAGGCAGAGACTGACCTTTTGATTTGGCAACCATAACTCTTGTCATTTCACTTTTGAATTGCTTTGATTTCCCAAATTCTGTTGATATTGCCTCCAGGAGGGAATTGGGAGTGGCTGTAACAAAAGATGCAGAGGAATTCAAAATAGAACACTTGAGTTCTTATCTAGATTTCTTGGAGGACTGGGAACAGTTTATCTCTGGATCTAACGTGCTTTGGAGATGTTCTTTGTCCCTAACTAAACTTGGGGGAAAGCTCTGAGGTTATCTCCGGTGAGAGGAGTGGTCTTGAAGAGTTGACCTTGAGCTGGAGGCTCCTGTGGGTCTGGTCCTTTTCAGAGATCTTGTTATACTCTGGAATCCACCTGGTGGTTTTTTACTGATTAATGAATGCTCCTGCTAGATTCATGCACATTTTTACTACAATTTATGCAAAATCAGATATGGACTGAAGTTCTGTTAACAAGGTAAAAACGGAATTTCTCAACATGATTTATCTTATTATTTTTCCCATGTATTTGTCCCTTGACCTAAAGATCAAACTTCTTCCTTTGTAGGACTGATGAGTACAGAGAAATCTAATCAGTGAGGAAGCTGCAGTCTCACATTGCCTTTCCCTGAATTGCCCTAGGTTTATTTGTTTTTCTGTTTGTTTTTAACATTTGATCCCCTTTGTTCTGGAATCTTTTTAACCCAGATGCTAACATTTCCATATAAGTGAAAACCATGAACTTAGTATTTGGATGTTACTGGCCAAGTTTAGGGTAGCAGTAGGAAGATGTTAGCCTCTGAATAAATAGGAGGTTTTGGTTGTATGCTTCCCATTATGTGGACACTTGATCAAAAGGGCATAGGAAGTTCAACCTGTTCTCTAAGGAAGATGTAGTCAAACAGATTCCACTGAAGCCATTCTTATGGTCCAGATGCCACACAATATCGAGGCTGCTAGCCAGTTCTAAATTAATCTCTATTAACAGATCAAGTCTAAAAATGTTCAAGTTGCTAAATGGACTATGATTGCATGCAGACTTAGTTTGTTTGTTCCTTTGGACAGGAAGTGTTTTGAAGTTACATAGAATCATTTGAGAATACTGTGGGTTATGTAAAACAGCTTTTTAATACTTAACTCTGTGTTGGGTGTAACGCTAAAGGATAGAGTACTCTAAGGATCTGGGGAGCCTTTATTAGGGCTGCCTTGGTCTTCTTTGGGACCTGGAATTGAAACAACAAAAGATTCTTCATCAATTCATTCTTAAAAAAAGAAAACACTTATTCTGATCTCTGTAAACATTAGATATTCAAATAAATGCTTTTCACTGAATTTATGAAATCAAGAAATGTAAATACAATAAGTATTTTTCCAGTCTTAATTTTGTAAAAACAAAATAACAGTTTTTGAATTTTTTAATGACAGAATTTGAGTGATTCTGCTGCCCTGGAAATTAACATTGTGTTTTGCATAATTATTAGGTAGTGACTGAAACAAGTTTGTTAAGGCAATAATTTTTAATAGGTGAAACAGTAAATATTTATTACATTAAAAAATGAAACTTTATGGAAATTTTATGTAATTGGAAAGAACACTGTAGGGAAAAGCTAGCATTAAACTATATAATAAAGAAATCAGCAAACAAGCTGATGACGGGTGGGTAGAGAATATAGATAAAAGTACACTCAGGAATTTTTTACTTTGAAAAGTGCATTTGGCAAAAATTGACACATTATTAATTAAAATTAAGTATGAAATTGTAATTTAAAATAAGTTAGCACTTAGCTTTCAAGACCACATTTTAAAAATAACTTCAAAGAAGCCACTGAATAATGGACAATGTTTGCTGTTCATGACCTATGTGAAAATCCCCTTGAAATTTTGAGAAATAGTCTTCTCCTGCTTATTTGACACCACACAGACATACTTGCATCATACCTTAAAAGTTGTTGAAATACTGTGCTAGCAAAATGAGAAATTAGATTTTCAAAATCATTACTATTTTAGTTTTTAAATCCGTAATTCCTAATTGGAAATGATGCTCAAGGTTGAACTTTTAAATATCGTAATAGGTTCCAAAGGCTTTGGGTATTCAAGAGAACTGGATTTGGATTCAGTCTAGACCACTTTGGGCAAATCTGATTACAACCCCCTGTTGCTTACATTCACTCCTAGGTTTACATCACTCCTAGAATAAAGATCCAAATCCTTTACACAACTTCAAGGTCCTAGGGGGTCTGGCCACTTTCCACTCCACTCCCCCAGCCTCCTGTTATACCAAATTCCCTGCTTTCCACCCTGCAGCTGTGAAGACTACTTTTCACTTGCTCAAATGTACCTCCCTCCTGCAACAGGGCTCTAGTACATGCTATTCTCTGATGCACTTTTCTAGACAATCCCTTTTGCCTTATTAATTCCTACTTATCCATCAAATCCCTGTTGCCATACTCTCAGGAAGGCTTTTTCAGACTTCTCTCACCAGCTCAAATCTTCCTTTTTCTTCTCATGACCTTCTAAAATGCAACTATTTGTATAAGTGAGTGATAATTTCATTAATAACTATCTCTTTCAGTGACTTTTAAGCTCCATGAGGGCTGGAAGCCAAGTCTGGTTTTGCCTGCCATTTTATCCCCAGCACTGAAGAGTCTACTATATATAAGGAGCTCAAACATTACCTTTAAACAGGATGAATAAATACATGACTGAAATTATTAACCTTAGTTACCCTCTATAAAAGAGGGGCCTAGGGTTGCTATGAAGATTGAGTGACAAAGTGTCTACAAAGCCTGGCATATGGGAAGTTCTCAGTAAGTAGCAGTAGTGATTTCAGTTAAATTAGGTTTGGTAGTTTACTTGGTAAATTAGCTGTTTTGCCTCCATACTTTCCAAAAGTTTTAAACTTAATTAGTAAACACAAAGTAATATATTTTATGTATCTATTTGTTTGTACTTATATGGGAATACAAATTTAGAGATTTAGAACAAATTTTAACTGTATTTAGCTACATTCAGCTGGTAATAAACAGTATGTCTATAGAAACCTTAACCTTACATTGATTTTTGTTTTCATGTATAACTTTTTCAAAATGGGTTTAGTAAAGAGGGCCCTATTTATTGGATATAGTTGTTTCTAACTAGAATGTCTACTTATTGAATTATTTGTTCAAAAAATCTTGAGGCTTGAGAATGTGAGTTCCCCTTTATTTGATAGTGGCCTGAACATCGGAGCTATTATATAATGATAAATTTAAGTGTATATTTTTGGGATGGAGCCTTGTGTTTGAAATGATGTTGAAGCTCCATCCCCTGTTAGAAAAAAGATGTACATTCACTTACATTAAATTATGTAATGGCACAGGTATTTCTTGTACAGTAGAAGGCTGTGATATTTCATCATTCTAACTTCTGGGGTTATTATGATCCTATAAAGGTAAATTTGTACATGACTTATAATGATAGTAATACTCAAACACAATTCTTGGGTTTAAGATCTTATACTACACAAATCACACTGCCTAGTATTCTGGGGAAAACACATAACAAGTATTCCCTCTTATTTCAGATCAACACGGTGTGGCCTTCTGGGGGCAAGATGCCTGTTTCATGGCCACAGCCTAGGAGCTGTGAGCCCCATCACTTTGCTCAGTGGGTTTGAGATGAGAAATATCTAGTTTTTGACTGCAAGAAGCCGGAAATCTAAATGCAGTGATGAGGCAAATTACTCATGCAAATAGTAAGGACTCTAATTAGTCAGTTTTCACCTGTATGCTATTGATACTTGAAGATATTTTTGGCCCCAGAAAGTTAAGGAAGCTCATAAAGGAGGCAGACCCTGAACAGGGCAGTGGACAAGTTCTTTGATTGCTTTGGGCTCTAGCTTACAGGTCTGTCATTCTCTCATTTTGGCAGTACAAATTTTAAGTGGTTTATTAGGAAGCTAAAATTCTCTGCATATGAAGGGCGTGGGTCAAAAAGACTTTTATGTTTTGTAGTACTGTAACCTTACAATGGAATTCAGATAAGATGGTTCTAGACAGAACCTGAAATACTTTGAGTTTCAAGAAAGAATCCTAGGCCAGGCACTGTTGGGCTCATGGCTGTAATCTCAGTACTTTGGGAGGTCAGGGCAGGAGGATTGCTTGAGGTCAAAAGTTTGAGACCAGCCTGGACAACACAGTGAGACCCTTGTCTCTACAAAAAAGAAAAAAAAAAAAGTTAGTTCTGGTGTGGTGGTATGTGTTTGTAGTCCCAGCTACTTTGGAGGCTGAGGCAGGAAGATTACTTGAGCCCAGGAGTTCGAGGTTACAGAGAGCTATGATTACATCACTGCATTCCAGCCTGAGCAATGGAGCAAGACCATGTCCCTAAGAAAAGAAAAGAAAAAATAAAAAGAATCCAAAAATATATTCAAGACATCATCATGGCATTTCAACCTCAAGCAGGGCCAGGGTTTGGAAGTATAGGCAAACAATTATTTTCATGTATTTGACATCCATTTCCCAAGAACCTCATACAGTTGATAAAATAAGTTGTTTTTATTCTCTACTTTCTCAATTACTTTTCAAGTTATTAGTCGATCACGATACTTCTAAAATCTAAGATAATGCCAGATATCCTCTGTCAGCCTCTGCTACCCAAAGAGCAAAGAGCCTCTTCCATGTGGTAGTTATTAGCATCGTGGTTCAGCAGGTGTTATAAATCGAATCAACTGGGATTGGGAGGGATTTAGCATGCTTGCAGTAATAGAGTGGGGATTTTGCCAAAAATCTCTAGTATTCTTTTATGACCATTTCCCATCAATTTATATTGCTCCAGAATTATCCGGAGATACCTGACTTTATTCTACTTTTTTTCTATATCACTGCCCCCTAAGTGACAAATGGATTTATTTATTTTTCCTGAATTACAAGCTCACTATAAGGAAAAAAATCAAACAATTCATAAAATTATAAAAACAAAAATCCCACTCATAGTTAATACTTGGTGAATATTTATTTAAAAAATTCTACATTGCTAGTCATTAGATTCCAGATATTTGAAGGTTTGAGGACAGGTTGTTTTGCTAGAATGAGTAGTGCAGTGATATACATGTTTATTTATATATATTTGTACATTTGTCTTTTCTTAAGATGCATTCATGAAAATAGAATGAGTAAAATTTATTCATATTAAAATTTCTAATAATATTGTTAATATGCCCCCAAAAGATGATTCCAGTTTATCTTTCTAACCCAAGTTTTTGAGAGTGATTGTTTCTCCAAAACCCTAATAGTGAGCTTTGTCAAAATTTTCAATCAGTAATTATCTGGTAGATGAAGTAGGATATCTCCTTGTTTCATTTTTTTCTTTGTTTACTTCCAAAGTTGAGCATATTTTCTTATATTTATTGAACATTTGCATTTATTCTGTGAATTCAATTTCATATCCTTTTTCATGTTTTAATTGAAGTACTTGTTTTTTGTTTATTTTTTTGGTCCATCCTATTTTAAAATACAGATATTCTCCCATTTTCCATTTATCTTTTTTTTTTTTTTTTTTGAGACAGAGTCTCACTTTATTGCCCAGGCTAGAGTGAGTGCTGTGGCGTCAGCCTAGCTCACAGCAACCTCAATCTCCAGGGCTCAGCGATCCTACTGCCTCAGCCTCCTGAGTAGCTGGGACTACAGGCATGCGCCACCATGCCCGGCTAATTTTTTGTATATATATTTTTAGTTGGTCAATTAATTTATTTCTATTTTTGGTAGAGACGGGGTCTCCCTCAGGCTGGTTTCGAACTCCTGACCTTGAGCAATCCGCCCGCCTCGGCCTCCCAAAGTGCTAGGATTACAGGCGTGAGCCATAACGCCCGGCCTTCCATTTATCTTTTAAACTTACTTTTATTTATTTGTTTTTTGTTTTGTGTTTTGCCATGTGAGGCATTTTTGATTTGTATGTACACTCATATCTATCCATTTTTTCACTTATGGTTTCTGTCTATGTTCAGTTGCTTAAAACAGCTTCTTGACATCCAAAGTATAGAAATATTGCTCCTTCTAGGACTTTTATAGTTTAACATTTAACACTAAGGACCAAAATCATTAGGAATACAACTGGTATAAATGATAAAGCCATGTTGCTTATTGGCATACTACTCACAGGGCCAAATTTGGTGGATGGGTAAGTTTGAATGATGAAAGGTAATAACAGAAGATGATCCTGTGTGAAATTTTGGTTCAAAGCATGATAATTCTGGCCCCCAATTAATTTTGGTTTCCCAAAGCTAACAAATAAAAATACAGGACACTCAGTTAAATTTGCATTCCAGATAAACAACAGATAGTTTCTTAGTTTAAGTACGTCCCTACTGTATTTTATCAGGTAAAACAAAATAAATAAAGAAGGCTGATTTGAAATAACTCTTCAAGAAGTGAAAGTCTATGATAATAATTTGAGACCATAATAGGGATTCATACCTCACCAAGAAGAAGAATGGAAAGTAGACATCAAACAAAGTTTGGATAGATGAAGGGTGCTAGAACACACTCACGTTTGCAAGAGCTGATTATGCCCATCTTTTCCCATCCACATTTAGTGATGTCAGGTTTGAAAGGTAGCGATGGTGAGTGTATTTACAACACAGACATCCCCAAATGCTGAAATCAAATTTTTTGTTTTTTTATTTTACCCGAGGGAGCCAGTTATTAACAGTGGAGGCAGCTGAAAGGGAAGTCCGAGAAGACTCCAAACATTATTACCTTAACTTACTTTGTGGTTTGGCCTGAGCTTAGGCCTGGCCAGTCATGGCATCTGCCATTCATGGAACAGTGAGCTGAGCCTCAAGTCCCATGGCAAACCTCACCTGGCTTTGAATATAGAATCACCAGAATGTGATTAAGCTCTCCGCCAATCTTGATTTTAAGACCGTGGCAAGTTACTTAATCCCGCTCTCTAAAATCTAAGGTTTTGTGAGGATGTGCCAGGGGGCACAGGAAGCCACCGGATAAACACAGTCCATCTAACTTTATTTCAATTTATGTACATGCTTAAAACACAGACCAAAATAAATATAAGTAATAATAATAAAAGCCCACCTAGGCCTACTTTAGGTTAGTTTTGGAACTCTTCATGTCCACTGACCTTCGCCTTTGTTGAGTATTTAGATGAAAATGAATGAAAAGTATTGATACTACAATAATAACTCCACACCTCAGTGTCCTCATTGAACAGAACAGGAGGGTTGTCAGAATGAAATGAAATAATAGATGTTAACCATGGAGTATTTGTAGTTAGTACCTCTATTTTTAGGAATGTTTGTTGGGTCAGCTCATGACCTAGGAACCTCAGAGATCAGCAAGCACCCAACTCAGGGTCTGAACTTTGACCTCAGGGTCAGTAGCCCTAGGTGCTCTTGAAGAACACAAATCCTAGTAGACTAAACATAGATAGGGCTAGAGAGTCCCACTGCCTGAAAATTTATTTTTGCTGATTTCTACAAAAATCAGCATTTGCTATTGAATTTTACCTTTACTTGATTTGTTTAAGAAACATAGTAAACATTCTCTAAAAATGATTGAAACATTCTTCACTGATGGAATTACATTGTTTTTGGAAAAAAGCAGCTCACATCATTCTGCTAATTCACAATAGATTAAAAATGTGCAATACCGTTATTTTGTATTTTTTGTCCTATTAATCCATGTACAAAATCATGCATTTTTTTAAAAAAACTTCGATATGACACTTTTAACTTCTTAATTTAAAAAGTCCAAACCACAATGTTACTATTTTTGCAAGAAAAATAGCACCCCAAATACTTACCTATAAAGTTAAATTCAACCAGAAATTTACATTTTCACAAATTCTCTTCTTTGGAAGCAGCAGATATTTAAAATCATTACATATTGTGTTCATACTGCATGCACATAAAATTGACTAGAGACCCCAAAAGTAAGCTCTTGGGAACCCAGACTTTGTTTCCAAGGAGGGAAAACAAACCCTCTTTGTCTGAATAAGTGAAAGGTACCAAAAGAGAGTGAAAACCAGTTTTCCTTTTGTAGGAGAACCAGCAGTGGAAGAAAAGATCACTTCCTTTGTAGACACTTTATGGGTTTCGGATTCTGTAAACTCTGGCATGTAACTTGACCCTAAAGTTAATGAAATCCTGTTAGACTTTCCCTGCCCTCCTTCCTGCTTCCATCCTTCTGGTTGTCTCACCTTTTTAAAACTCGATTTGTATTTGTATACATGTGTGATCCCCAGGTCATTGTTTGGCTTTTTATGCAGGCACTTTTCACCTACATCCTCTCTCCTTCCCTCATTTGGCAGCCGGTTGGACTTCTTCCTGCCTTGAATACCGCATTCCCTGGTTATTCAAGCTCAGTCATTAGCACCCTGTCCCCCTACTAAAATTATGAATGAAAAGCCTTGTTGTTCTTTACAAATAACTCTGGCTGCCTCAGTCAGTCAAATTCCAATGGAAGTGACTGCCAGACAAAGGGGCGGGATGATGGACAGTGCTCACAGCAAGTCATCAATGCCCACAGGAAGTTTTTTAAGCCACAATATAGGTAGAGAGGCTTGGGCGTTCCCGGAGGACAAGCCTACCGAAGGGGGCTGAGAACCCGGTTGCTCTTTGTCTCTGTTTGGATCTTAGAAAAAAAACCTGTACGAAAGCTCAGAGATAACAATGTACAGAGTCAGTTTTGCTCTAGGAAAAAAAAATAAAAAAATCCGTGCATGGAGACATCTACTACACCTTGCAGCAATTCTGGTTTCAACTGACACACACAGACAAAAGTGAAGGCACCAACCATTGACTTGGTTCTGAATGCCAAACGGTGCGAGAGTGGGTTACATGCTCGGAGCTGCACAACTCCCTGCTGAGAAGTTGCATTGTCTTGGGCCCCTCTTTCACAACAGGGGAAAAGGTAATTGACAGCCCGATTGTTTGGCCGAGACCCCTGCTGTTTTAAAATCCTGGAAGGCCCCAGTCACACGTTGTCAATAATAGCCCTCGGAGGTGAGGAGTGAAGAAGGGCTGTTCAGGAAACAGTTTGAGCCCTTCAAGTGGACAGGCCTCAGTGACTTCTGCACTCTGGCTGCCACAAGCAGCTCATTCAAAAATAACCTTTAAGTAATAAATCAAACTTGTTTCCTGAACTATACAAGAAACAGCTGGTTATTTTTCCTCACTTTTTTTTTCAAAGCCAAAAAAAAAAAAAAAAAAAAGGAAGAAGAAGAAGAAAACCAGGAGATTTTTACTACAGGAAACCAAGCATGTCAAAATTTGGCAAAGCAATTTGGATGATTTAACAGTTAAACACTTCTCTTTTTAATGTTATGCTTTCATCAGTCTTTTTTATTCAAGCTTTTCTTTTTTGCATTCTGTTTGCTGCAATTAGTGCCCTCTATCTGTTCCCCTCCTATTTTTGAAAGGAAAATGAGGTTAGTATCCTGTACTTAGAGAGTATTTGCTATGTTATTTCTAATGTATTGGTCAAGAGGCTTGACTTATTTTACAGGTAGAATTTGTTTTCTTCCTCAGAGAGAGAGAGAGAATTTGGATTTAGAACTACAGCTCCGCAGACTTGTTTCTCCTGAGATCCATATATTTCGGAGTTCTGATGACAAGGCAGTTTTTCTTCAGTCTATTGATTCAGGAACCCTGAACTAGTAGTGCATATGCTGTAACTGAAGTCGTCTGGCATTTTAAGAAAGGACATTTTACAACTTTTCTGTCTCTTTGGGTCTCTGTTTGTGCCTGTCTTTGTGCCTTTCTTTGTGTGTCTTTTTCCCTCCTTAAATATGTTTGCCCTGCAGACTCTGGAAGGACCTGTCAACTTCTGATTGACTTTACCAATAATTAAAATACGAGCATAAATAAATAACATAAAACAATTTACTTCTGTAATGATGACTTTTTATCTTCATTTTAACAGATACCTAACATTTTCCACAGAAATCATCTTGAATGAAAATATTTTCTGATCAATCAGAGTATACATCTGAGAGATTAGCTTTTCACAATTTGTGGACATCTAGTATTAGAAAGAAATGTATTTCAGGATCTGTCAGATTTTACCATACTATGTCCATTTTGATCAATTTAACTATTATTAAATTGCCAATCTTAAAATTAGGTATAAGGTTGGGTAAAACATCTCTTTTTCACAGGATATTTTGATCACTATTTAATGAATTAAAAAAATTGTGGGTCCTAATTTAACAGCATATCAGAAATTATAAGTTATATTTTGAGATATTGTTCTATGTATATGACAAATTTATTTTTCTCCATTTTGTTAAAGAGATTATCCATTTGTGATAATACACTGGTAATGAAAAGTATGTTTACAGGAAGATAACAAAATTCAATTTACAGTAGAATTAGGTCGTAATAGACTTCATTTTCTTTTGTACCTGCAGTAAATAACAAAGCTATAAGAGCACAAAATAATCCATTTTTGTGGTATATAGTTAGACTAACACACTTTATACACATACAGTGTCTTGGCTGATACAACTGTGAATTCAGCCATGGGTGTGGTTTCCATATAAATGTTTCTTCCATATATGGTGGATATTCATACTGAACCTGTTTTGATGCAACATTTCTTCACTTTCAGCATTTTAAGCTTCAAACATGTGATACGTGACTGGATGGAATTCCTTGAGAACTGTATTAACATGTTTTAAAGAGTTGAATTAGCAGGTTAGTACCACGTCAGAAAAGAGCGTTCCTTGAAAAGTTGCACAGTAATTATATACACAGTTCATAAAAGATTATATAATACAACTCATAATTCCTATATGAATTGTAAAATGTTATCTTTAAAAGGTATAAAATCCCCAGTTCTATAGATGATTCATTTCTTTCTCATTATGTTCCAGTCTTGTGTTTTGGTAAGAGATACTGAGGAATTGATGAGTTAAATGGCCCCTCCTGCAGCCCCTGCAACTCCTACCCTCGCCCGCGGTGGACTCTGGGCCACAGTCGGGATGAGATAACAAGTGTAGACTGGAAGTGTTCTGCACAGACTTGCTTTCTGGCCTCCTGTTCAGCTGCCACTCTCACAGCTTGCCCTGAGAATGGACTTCCTGTGCTGTCATTTACACTCAGTATCACACTAAGCGCTCTTTGTCACTCAGCCTTTGAGACAGAAGGGGGCGAGATAACAAATCTAGACTGCTTGTGTTGACTTTGTGGATAAAGTAAAGGGCTGGAGTCAAGAACCCTGAGTCTTATCCTAACTCTGCAACTGCCTTTCCTGTGACATTGAGCCAGGCTTTTGACTTCTCCATTCCTCAGTTTTCCCCATCTGTGGAATGAGGATCCCTATGCTGTACTCTCTTGTTTTATCATAAAGGCGTGGTTATTGTAAGATTTTTTTAAATCTTTAAAGCCCTTAGAAAAATATTTAAAAAAAAAAAAAAAGAAAAAAGAAACAAAAAAATTACTTTTTTTTTGCTCTTGGGAGATGGGAAGGAAACCATAGCTGACTAATTACGCCTAACTTTCAGAAATAATTCTTCATAATCCTGTAAGTAGGGCTTGTCCCTTCTACCCTTGCAAATTAGTTTTTTTTTCCTCATCATTTCCCTTTGTGTCCTCTCTCTTCCTGCATTGATTCATTCCTTTCTATGTAGGAAAGAAACCACAGCACCATGCTGTGAGATGGAGGTGCATAGTATTTGGCAAATATGAAGAACACCTCTAGGAGGTTGTGTCCAAAGTGCATATGCAGAGACATAGAGGCAAAGGAGGAGGGCATGCTGAGAGATGGCACTGGGTGGGGAGGCACAGGGCAGAACATGGGGTCTCTGCAAATTTACTGAGTTCACAAACAGAAACCCACAGAGATAGCTACTAGCTGGCTAATGGGTCTCTGGGCTCTCCTGGGTCTTTCAGTCCTGGGAACATTAATTTTGCAAAGAGATGAGGTTGGATAGGGGTGAGAACCTATAGTAAATTCATGATTCTCCTTATGGAATGGGAGGATGTGTCTCTTCTGGTGATATCTATGGCTACTTTTTTTTTTTTTTTTTTTACTTATTTAGTTCAATTATGCAAAATGATGAAAGGGATTTGATCTCTTACATCAATTCCAATTTGTAAAATATTGTGAGTTTTAAAGAATGCATTTTAATATATTTCACTTTTGAAAAAGTGAAACCACTCAACCTTGAGTGGTTGAGTCTTTGTTGCTGTTGTTTTGCTTTGATTTTGTTTTGTGAAGAGATTGGTAACATAAATCGTAAACCAGAAATTAATTCACCTAGTTTTCCTCATCACAGTTTATGAAAGGGGATTTTGTATCTGATTTGTTTGTTTTTCCAAATCAACACATTCATTTACATGTGTTTAGTTTTTCATTTGGAAGGCAGTGATATCATTGCAGTGTTATATGATTTGACCCCCTGTTCAAACATGGTATTATATGGCCTGACATTGTATTTATTTCACATTTCTTATTGAATTCACTGTATATTCATGGATATTTCATGCTATTTTGTTACCTACAGATAGGCTTCTTTAATATGATATCATTTTAAAACAAGCAAGCAAATAAACAACTCCTATATAAGGATATATATACATTTATATATGTCTCTCCAAGTAGGAGTACACATATATGTATGCATACTTTGTTTTTACAAGAAAGGTATGAAAAGATGCCTGTTTATAATACATATCTGAAAGAGAGATAGGAGAATATTAACTTCTAAAGCTTTTTAAAATTTGTTTCACTTTTTACAACAAACATGCATTCCTTTCTTAATGCAAACATTAATGAAGAGAATGTTTCAATACTGATTTATTAAGAACAGTTAAAGAGAATACTTAGCAGTGACAAATGACATTTGCATTTTACAACAGTTTTGCCAATCTCAATAAAGTATCTGAAAAATCCACAAAAGAAGACAATCCCTTTTGTTTTTAAGAGCACACATAAAAAACACAACCAAAAAAACCCCACAATGGCTGGTGCTCCCTCTGCTGGTTTTTCTGCAGCAGTTAGCTGGATGATTTGGGAGGATGAAAAGACAGCAAACAAAATTAGGATGTTGCTTTGGTCTTTATACATCACTGCTATATACAAGTTTTATCCTTGATTGGCAGTAAGAGTCAATGTAGTTTCTGAAAATGGATTATTTCCTAACATTTAATAGTGATGTTGAAGTTGGAATAGATAATTAAATCCTTTTTAAATTAACTTTTCCTTTCTTGTGTCATAAAGTAGGATATAAGAGTCAACAATTCTTATTTTACTGAGAATTGTGGGTAGGAGTTAATTTTATGTAACTAACTTTCAGTGACTTGATCTAATAATAATTAAGTAGGATATTTGAATATCAAGTTCATGTTAGAGAGCAAAATTGATAGTGAGAGAGACATTATCACTGGACAATTTTTTTTTTATCAAACACTTTCTTACATCATTATTTAAGTCTACATCATCGTATATCAAAGATTTGAAAATTGCTTAGTTTAATTTATCTTGATGTCCAAACTATAATTAAAGATTCTTAGAATTCATTGAATTTATCAGCTTGCTCTCTGGGAATCCTGACCTTCATGGATCAGAGCATGTTTATCCATACAGAGTGAGCATTCATTTATATTATATGAATATATATCCATACAGAGTGAGCGTTCATCTTATATTAAATCACTCCTAAATATTTATTATATTGTGTATTATAGTAAATAATTCTGTGTCTTAAAGGAGCTTAATGTGAAGATTCTCTCTATATACTTTCAACTCCTTCTACACTAGCTTTTGCCTTTAAGTAGATATCAGTTAAGACATGAGATGATAGAATATATGAAACTATTTCCGAGGGATATATTATGTATTCAGTAGGGAGTTCTGGAGACTCTACAAGTGTCTAAAGGAAGCATTTTTAATGGCAGGTTGTAGGGAGAGGGTTTGTAGTCAGATAAAATAGACCAGAGGAAGGTTACTTCTAGAAAATGGACAGGCTTGTGGGATCAGCGTGCAGAATGAGGAGAATCCCAAGCAATGCAATAAGCAGTGAGGGGAGGTAATGTTCAACAGGGAAGAACAGGAATTGTATTTCCTTGACTGAGAGCCGCTGTCTTCTTAAAAAGTCATTTTTGTGAGCAGTGCTTGCAGAACGGTAAAGCGGAAAGAAAATTACAGGGTAGAAGACCAGATCTCCTAAATCAACCTTACTCATCACTGCTGCACAACATGCTATCATAAGATCATTTTAACACCCTGGAAAACACCAAGTTGTGGGTTTAGGCAAGCAATAGTTAACATCAGGGAGAGCCAGTTTCTAATAGAAGAGATCCAGCCATAGCTACTGAAGTGTAGGTGTGGGATTTTGAGGCTCTGGAAAGTATGGGGGTAGAAACGGGGTGATTCCTTTCCTCTCCATCATACGGATCATGGCTGACACCCATAGATACAGGGCAACTCAATTTTTATGCTTAGGTTCAATGAAATATGGACAGCCATGTAGAAATAAGATTGGACTAAAATGGCATAATCCAATGCTACTAGACTGAGTAAGGAAACTCAGCAAGGGCTGCGCAGATTTTTCTTGGCTTCTGCATATAACATTCCTTCCTCCTGGGTATGGGGCAAGACCCCTTTGGAATGAGGGTCTTAATTTATTTACAGTGAGCTGTTACGTAGAGAAGCAGGGGGAAGGTTAGAGTAATATTTTTAGGCTTTATGTCTGGCTTTGGGAAAAAAGGGTTTTGGTTTCTATGGTTTGCTCTAGGGGAGAATGAAGGGGGTGAGATAGGAGGGCAGGAGAAAGTCAGAGAGAAACTTTTTTCTTTCCAGACTGCTTCTTATGCCTTCGCTTTGGGGTATTGTTGTTTGAGCCCCAACATTCCCAGTTTGAAATTTCCTCTAGAAGTGTCACAGCCCCCAAATTGCTTGGTGGATTGTCTCACAGGTCCTTGAATCAGTCGGTCCCAGTAATAGGCCAGCCCAGTTAAACAGTTAACAGTTGAGTCTCATTTCAGGCAGTGGTGTTACAGATGGGCTTCCACGAAAATCAGGCCTCTGTACAGCATTAGCAATCAGATATTTACTTTGGGTTATTGCTTTCTGAGCCCCAGCAAAAGACTGGAGAGGGGAGGGTGTGGAGGGGATGTACTGAGGGGGAACAACATTCTTGGATTCCAGAGCTAGAGGACCTGGAGTAAGCAGGCAATGAATGAATGCAAAAACCTAAGGCTGGGCTCTTAGGTCAGGAGGATTCATGGTAGGATCCCTGCTCAGGAAGATGGGATATGAACAGTCACAGCTAAGGCTGATTTGATACTGATCCCAATGTACTGCTACATTCCTTCATCCTGAGTCTGGAGAGGGTTTTGCACGCACTAGCACATGGTTAGTTAGGACCTAAAAGCCACTTGGACAACTGAACCAAAGAGGGAATTTTAAGAGATGTTATTGGATGGGAGGTCATGACCCTTACTTCTCAAACCATGGTGGATGCCCTAATGCTTACTTAGCCTGCTCATAAAGTCATTCTGCATTAGAGGTTAAAGATTAAAGAAACCAGAACACTCCTTCTTCAAACAACTTTTACATTTACTACCAGTGCCACATAATTGTTCTCTAATTTTTTTTATTTATTTGTTTTCAGTTCTGTCTCTTCAGATAATATATTTTAAGTTTCTTAAATGCAGGACTGTTTTTTTCATTTTTTAAAAAAAGATCTTTT